CCTTGTGCTTCCTGCTGGGCAGCACCTTGTCTGTGCTGCAGCCTGGCTGGTGCAGCCTGGACCGCGCCGGGCCTCAGTGTCCTGGTCTGGCACAGCAGTGACCCTCGTGGCAGTGGACGAGGCCGTAGGTGGCCTTTGGGACACTGACCTGTGTGCCGGCATGGGTGCCACCGGTGTTTCTGGCGCCCATTGGACGGTGCCGTGAAGATGGTGCTGAGGGCGTGTGGCCGCGTCCTGCTGTTGTTTCGCCGTAGCCTCCTGGAAGCCATCGTCTCCCCGAGCTCCTGAACTTCTTGTGGCTTCGTTGGGCCCCTCCTGGTCTGCTCAGCTGCCTTGCTCACCGCCCTGCCTGCTCGTGTGCACTACTGGAGGCCCGCTGCGGGGCGGCAGCCCTGCAAGGAGGTGCGGCCTGGGTGTTGGAGGAGCTCCCTGAGCAGGCGAGCGTGCAGCTGTTAGTGCATCCGGGCTGCTGTTTCCCAGTGAGCGAGACACTGCTGCTTCCTCTGCAGAGGTGGCCCGTGTGGGCAGGTCGGTCAGTGGGGTGGCTCTCTGAGCTGTGTCCCTGCCTCCCGGCATGTTTCAGTGTTGCCGATGCCTGGGCCCTGCCAACCTGGGTGCTGGAGTCACCCTGCCAGCTTCCTGGAGGAGGTGGAAACTATGTGGTCTTGACCTGCCAGCCTGGAGATAGCATGCACACTGCTGAGATCCAGCCCGTCTTTCGGTGCTTGGCCACCGCTGCGTCTGCTGAGCCCTCTGTCTTTGCCATGGTGTCTTGCGGTTTCCTCCCTCTCTCTACCACTGGCCTCGCGAGGCCACCCAGTGCCTCTGGGCTCCCAGCGCCTTGCCGTGGGCCTGCTGTGTGTGCGCGAGGCCTTTGCTGCTGCCCCTGGGGAAGACAGCTGGTCTGGCGCCAGCTAAGCCCGCTGGGACAGGTGTGCCCTGGGCGTGGCCTGCCGTGCTGTGTGCTGCCAGGGCCTGGCAGCGACCACGGCCTCCAGCTGTGCCTCCCACTGGGCCAGCGGTGGGCAGGAGCCGGCTGGCTGGGCGCCCACGGGGCTGCGTCTGCAGAGCCCGCGCACGTGTCGCTGTCTGTCGTGCCGTCTTTTTTCATTTTCTTTTCTTGTGGGAGTGGTAGTCAGTTTTTAAACTTTTGGTTCAGATCTTAAAATTGCCATATGGTGTGCTTAAAGTTTTTTTCTCCACAAGCTACTTTTTTTAAAAAGAATTATTGGGTCGTTAGAAAAGTCGTAACACATTTTTGCATAGAAAAACATAGAAAAACATGTCATGACTTTTCTGCTTGCCCAGTATTTAACTTTATTCTTTTTAAAACTTGCTATATGGTTTGTGCACTCCCCAGAGATAGATGGGGAGAGAGCAAGAAAGCAAGCCTCCAGGTCTGGGACTTGATCTGTGGCTGGCCATGTGGGAGTCCAGCATCCCAACCACCCCCCCCCAGACTACTTTTTAAAAAAGTGATTATTTAGACCAGATGATTACGTTCCTGGACTACCACGTAGTTGACCGCAGTTCGAGTCCCGTATCTGGCTGCTTAAAACTCAGGCCAGGCGCGTGTGTGTGGGTGCCCAAAATCCTGAGAGGAGAATGGAGGAAAAGGGATTGCCGCATGGCCATCCCCCGGGAGGTGAGTTCTCGGTTTCTGTTTGTCTGGTGAGCTCACGTGTCCTATAGCAAAAATCTCTCTTAAAAGAAAAAAAGATTATTTTAGGGACCCGCCTGTGGCATGATAGTTTCATCACTGGGCTCCCACGTAGCCGACTGTGGTTTGAGTCCTGTACCTGGAGGCCTCAAACTCAAGCTGGTGTATGTGCGTAGGTACCCAAAATCCTGAGAGGAGAATGGAGAAGGGATTGCGGGGTGGCCATACCACTGGGGGGTGATTTCTTTCCTTCTGTCTCTCTGATGACTGCATGTGCTCCATAGCAAAAATCCCTCTCTCTCAAAAAAAAAAAAAAAAATCTGCAGAGAGACAGACAGAAGATAGCACTCTAGCAGGGTCCTGACCGTGACCCGCCCCAGCCTGGCCGGCTGTGGGCACAATATGGGTTCCTGGGGTGCTCAGTGAGGCCTGGACGGGCACTGGTAGTATGTCACCCACCTTCCTCCTTCCAGCCAGCTCTGGGGCAGTTGGGTCCATTACGTTTTTCTACAGATGTGTTCGATATGGGAGTTTTCAAATTTATTGGAACAAAGGTGATCATAATACTCATTTTTTGGAGAGACTTTTGCTGTAGGGCACTTGCTGGAGAGACAGAGACAGAACATGAGGAATCACCCCCCAGGGAGATGGCCATTCTGCAGTCCCTTCTCCCTAATTCCTCTCCCCCCAGGGAGATGGCCATTCTGCAGTCCCTTTTCCCTAATTCCTCTTGGGATCTTAGACACGCACGCATACGCACCCGGTGTGAGTTCAAGCCACCGGGTCTAACTAAGTCTCATACCACAGACGACTACACGGGAGTCCAGCGATGTAGCCACTGGGCCATCTGCTGGTCCCAGCTACGAGAAGATCTTCAGGAGCTTGGAGAAACAACACTGGGATGCCACGTTTGCCCTCAACAAATAGTGCGTGTGCTTGCTGGACAGACAGACACAGACAGACAGAAAGTGAGAAATCACTTTCCAGGTGGGATGGCCACACTGCAGTCCCTTCTCTTCCATTCTCCTCTCTGGATCTTGGGCATGCACGCACACGCACCTGGTGTGAGTTTTAGATTCCCGAGTCCGGGACTCAAACCGTGGTTGACTACGTGGGAGTCCAGTGGCGTAACCATTATGCCATCTGCTGGTCCCCATAACATTCACCTCTCGTTGGCTCTTTTTTTTTTTTTTTTTTTTTTTGCTATAGGGCACGTGCACTCGCCAGACAGACTGAGACATAGAGACAGAAAGCAGGAAATCACCCCCCAGGGGGGATGGCCATTCCGCAATCCCTTCTCCTCCATTCTCCTCTCAGGATCTTGGGCATGCACGCACACGCGCCCGGCGTGAGTTTAAGCCACCTGGTCTGGGACGAGAGCCGTGGTCGACTACATGGGAGTCCAGCGACATAGCCTTTACGCTAACTGCTGGTCCCACCTCTCGTTGGCTTTTTAAATATCTGTTTCTCAGAAGGCACGTGTACTTCCTGGAGAGACAGGGCAAGCCCGCGCTGGGTGTGGCCCTCCGAGTCCTGTCCTGTCGCGTTTTGTCGGGGTCGGGCGCTCCCATACAAGCCCTGTGTGTTTCTCAAGCCATTGGGGCTGGGATTCAAACCGGTCAGCCACGTGGGATCCAGCTCCCTTGAGCACTCAGCTGTAGGGCAGCCCTCAACCTCTTACCTCATCGTTTAGCCCGACTTAACGTTAGATTTCCGGTGGATTTGGGTTTGTCTCTGGCCATTTTTCTCCCAGTGTGGTGTTTGAGGTGTTTTATCTGGGGGCATAATTCCTCGTCTGTCACACGGAAGGCATATACTGTACCTTTTTCAATACTTCATTGGGGTCAAATACTCTAACATCAAACTCATCCTTGCGGGGCCAGCAGGTGGGGTGGTGGTGAAGGCGCTGTGCTCTCACATGGCCAAATGTGGTTCAAGTCCCAACCTGACGATTTGAAAATCCCGCCAGGTGTAGGTGCATGCGTGCTCAGAACCCCAAGAGGAGAATGGAGAGGTGAATGTAGCGACCTTCCCCAGGGGTGGTCTCTTCCTTTCCCTCTCTCTGGCTCTTGTAAGCACATGGCCCAGAGCCCCCTCAGGACCCCCTGTGAGCACATGGCCCAGGGGCCCCTCGGGACCCTGTGTGAATGCAGTTTAGTAGCACTGGTCAGCACCACTGCCCCTGCAGGACCTTCAGCCTTCCTGGGCAGACACCATCCCCAGCAGACCCCCACA